AGAGGGCGCGCCGTCGGCGGGAGGAGCCCTGTCTCGAGAGGCCAGGGCAGGCGGAGCTCACGACCTGGGACAGCGGCTGTAGCGCCGAGTGCCCAGACCCGGTGCGCGCGGCGCCCCAGCCCCATCGCCGGGGCACCTGGCGCGGCCCCAAGCCCTCTCCGGGCCTCAGTGTCTTCTCTCCAATGTGCGCTCTTGCGCAAAGGGCGTGCACCCTTGAGGAGGAGGAGTCCTCAGTTTTTCCTTGCCCTGGGGAGTTGGTTTTCTCGGCGCGGATCCCCCTGGGAGCCCTTCCTCCGGGGACCCCGGGCCGGGCGAGTGGGCCAGGTGGCAGTGGGCTCCGGGCTCGGCGGCCCGAAGTCCCCACGCCGCTCATGCGCCCTTGCTTTGCAGTGCGCGTCCCGAGACGACTGGCGCTGTGCTCAGTCTATGCACGAGTTCTCCGCCAAGGACATCGATGGAAGCATGGTTAACCTGGACAAGTACCGGTGGGTACCCAAGTGCCCGGTGGGAGAGGCAGGGGAAAGGTTGGTGGCCCTGACCTGGCCTCACTGGCCCATCTCACCTTCAGGGGCTTCGTGTGCATCGTCACCAACGTGGCCTCGCAATGAGGCAAAACAGAAGTAAACTACACTCAGCTTGTCGACCTGCACGCCCGATTCGCTGAGTGCGGTTTACGGATCCTGGCCTTCCCTTGCAACCAGTTCGGGAGGCAGGTACGTGGCTGGCTGTGTCCCTGGCTGTGTCCCCGGGTGTCCCGGTGTGGGGAGAGGGGACCAACGGGAGCACAGGCTCCTCCTCACTCACCCCCACACCCCTGCTTGCCACAGGAGCCAGGGAGTAATGCGGAGATCAAAGAGTTCGCTGCTGGCTATAATGTCAAATTCGATATGTACAGCAAGATCTGTGTGAACGGAGACGATGCTCACCCGCTGTGGAAGTGGATGAAAGTCCAGCCCAAGGGCAGGGGCATCCTGGGAAAGTGAGTGGGAGGCTGGGGGAGGGGAGAGGAGAGGGAAGGGCGGTTCCCCCGGTGGGGCCGGGGTGGGGGGATCGCCTTTGCCACCAGATTCCTCACGACTTCACGTTGCTTTTGTAGTGCCATCAAATGGAATTTCACCAAGGTAAGGGGAGACTGGGAGTTGGGGGAGACGGGAGGGGGGACCCGCCAGGACTGTGTCCAGGGCTGGCTCCTGCCCCCGGGGCCCCTGTCTACTCAGCCATAGCTCAGTGCCCTGCTCCAGAGTGCTCCAGCCCTGGCCCAAATGGGGCAGCAGGTGGGGGGCTGCTTGCCCCCAGCCCCCCCTAGAACCTCCCCACCCCCCCCCGACTGCTGGCTTCCCCCACTTTGACGTGGTCTCTCTCGGCAGTTCCTCATTGACAAGAACGGCTGTGTGGTGAAGCGTTATGGTCCCATGGAAGAGCCCCTGGTAGGTACCTTTCCACTGAGCCTTCTGGGGGTGGGGGCTGAGGGGAGAGGCCACCCCTGACCCCCCCTTTTCCCCACAGGTAATAGAGAAGGACTTGCCCTGCTACCTCTAGCTCCACAAGTATGCGCCCCCCCCACGGCCCCTGCCCCTCGGAGCCTTCTACCCGGCACCCATGACGGTCTGCCTGAAAACCAGCCCGCTGGTGGGGCAGACCCGAGAACTCGGCGTGCACCCCCCGCCGGAGGAAGGTTCCTCGGCCCGGCCCGAGGCTTGGCGCCCCCCCCACCCCTGGTTATCTTGTGGGAATAAAACGTACAAATTGGCCTGCTGCTTGCTCCTGCCTCCCTGGGGTAGGGTTGGGGGGCAGGTGGGGGAGCCTTTTGCCCCGGGCCCCTTCTAGTTCAGGGGCAGGTCCCGGCAGCTCCCCAGGCTTTCCTGAGTTCTGAGCGCTCTGGGCTCCTAGGGCTGTGTCTGCCCTGGGGCCCTGCTGCTAATCTTAGCAGCCCCACCCATTGAGTGCAGGCAGAGCTGATCCTGGAGGAGGTAATAGGATTTACTGGCTGTTACTCCGCTGTTCAGGGCCTGCTTGGGGCCAGTCTTCCCCAGTGTCCGGAGAGGAAGGTCAGGGGGCCTGGGCCTTGTGGGCTCTGCCCACTGGGGGAGCCAGGCATCTGGGGCTGAGCATCAGGGCAAGCTGGTCTGGGCACAGAGCCACGCCGGGCACACTGGCCTCATTGTTGGACACTGAGTCAGGGCACTGAGGCCCGCCCACGGGGCCTCATCTGACAGAGGCAGGGGAGTGTTGTCTACAGCTCCCTTGCCCCAGGAGGGGTGGGGAATGGCCTGAGGCCAGGAGGGTCCTTCGGATGGACCCCTGTCCCTGTTCTGGGGGGCCTGGGAGGCTGTGGGCCTCCTGGCGAGGGGGTGGGGGATGGCATGGCTGGAGAGTGGCTGAGCCTGCCCTGCCTACGCACCTCCCCTCCCCCATTTCCAGTATCTGCAGTAAAGGTCAGTAGCACAGGGGTGGGGCTGGAGGATTGGAATAACCAGGTTGAGAGCAACCCCAGCCACCCTAAGCTGCTTCCCCTGGGGTCTCCTGGCTCCTCACTTGCCCACATTCTGGCGGGTGACAGACCCTTCTAACTTCAGGGCCAGACCCAAGTATGCTCCCTGGTGGCTTCCAGGAAGGGGCCAGCTCCTTCCAGGAAAGGCCCTCCTGCTCCTGGGCTACCCCACCTGCCTGAGGCAACCTTGGGGAAAAAACCAAAGTGGGGACCACAGCTGGGCACACCAGCGATGGGAGAAACTGGTCTCAGGGCACCACCAGGAGCGTCCCAGGCGGGGTTTGTGTCAAGCAGGCAGGAGACGACCAACGTCCGGTCCAAGCCACCATAGCCTGGCACGGCTAGCCGGGAAGCAGCCGGCCTGCCACACTGGTGACAGGATGACAGCAGACAGTGGCCCCTGGGGGACCTGCCTCCTCCAGCCTGGCCTCACATGGGCCTGGGAGAGGAGTGGGCTGGTCTCACCCACCCCGGATGCCCTCCACAGGTGACAGCCACCTCGACCACCCCTGAGTGGGGTCACTGCGGGCATCAGCTAAGTGCTCCTGGAGGAGGCATGCCGCGGCCCCCCCCCCTCCCCTCCCCGCTATCTCTGCAGGCTGGAGAAGCAGACAATCTGGGAAGTAGTGAAAAGGCACATATATTTAAAAAAGATCTCTTTACATATGTACACTTGAGTTCATTATAAATACACATAGAAACCAGGGGGCCCGTCCACACCGCCAGCTCCACGGCAGATTCTGGGGCCTGGGAGAGGTGGCCGGGCAATAATTTAGGGAGCAAACAGAGTGGGGAAGAATTGCATATATTAATGGGGGGAGGGGTCTGTCCCATGGAGCCCCCCAGAGAAGGCAGGGCCCTGAGCACCTGGGGTTTCCTGAGTTTCCAGCTCTTGGGGCCACCCAGTTTTGTGGATTTCAGGGGTTCCGGTCAGACCAGGCCCTGTCAGGTGGGTGGGGTGAGGTGGGTTGGGGAGCCCCTGCCTAGGCCTGGGGGGCAGGAGAGGACAGAGGCACAGGGAGGGTGGGCCCCCCATCCCCAGGCCCTGCCCAAGCCTAGACCCCGAGTCATCCTGAGTGGGACCTGCACTGCCTCGGAGAGCCCGGAAAGGCGGGCAGCATCTTGAGGGGTCTGCCCAGCCGCCGGCAGGGAAGGCACTGCAGTGGAGGCCTCCGGAACTGGAGGAGGGGCACCGCAGCCCCCCTCCCTGGTAGTCAACGGGGGAGCCTGGCCCCGCTACCACCCACGTGGGTAGGAGAGTCCCTGTGGACGTGGTGCGTATTGCAGGTAACTAAGCTTCCTCTCGGACACCGGCTGCCGGTCGCTTGCCGGGCCTAGGAGTTTGGAAAGGGGGGGCCGAACTGGATGACGCTCTGCCGCTCAGCGCCCCCGCCCCCACCGGGCACCCCTGCTGCCCCTGCGCCCGGCCCAGGGGGAACGGAGGGCGGCCCGGCGTTGAGGGAACGCAGCATGTCCTCCAACACCTCCTTGAAGTTGATGTCGCGGCCCTGGTGCGCCAGGGCCGCGGGGTCCGCGGCAGTGTCCGGGGCGC